ATTTGAATAAAATAACCATTAAATAATTATAATTATATAATAAAAATATATTCTATGTTTAAGTTTAAACAATCTTACCAAATATAACACAGTTAATGAGTGAGAAGAAGCCTTATAAGTATGTTGAAAAGAAAGAAGGAAAAGGCATTCCCGCGATTGCATGTGATCACACCCGTCTGCTTTCTCGCCTTACGTTGTATCCAGAGTATTTAGAACTCTTCAGAAAATGCGAGGCAGAAGTAAATTGTTGTAACAGTCATTTCGACCAAATTAAACTTGTCATTGAAAGTCTGGGAGATGTTTCTTGGCGTCGGGGCTGGAGAGCGGATATAAAGGAGTTCTTTGGATGTGTCAGAAGCGTGGAAAAACAGATTCGAAAGGTCGAAAACAAGAAAGGAGGAGGACTCGTTAAACGCCCAAGTCTTTTGAAAAAGGAACAAAAAGAAGAAGTCCAAAAGTTTATAGAAACTTTTCAAAAGGCGAAACAGCCAGTGGAACCTCGAGATGTTAGAGATTTTGTCAACCTGAAGCTTATTAAAGAGGGTGAGAAATCGCTAACAACAAAGCAGATGTATGAAATTGTCAAGAAAATTCCAGAGCTTGGTGTCAAAAGGGGAGAGTTGATGGAGACACCCAGAGCAATTGTGTCAAAAGAACTCATCATAGAATACCTCGATGAGCTGAAAAAAGCAGTGGATGGGAAGCCAGCGGCGTTGGTTTATAACTTATACGAGGTCGGGTTCAATCTTTTTGTTGATGCTCTTTCAAAGTCGGTATGTTTTTCTCATGCTTTCGGCGAGACAGTTTACACTCCAGTCGCTGGTCGTGGAGACAGGATAACCCTTTTGGGTTGTATTCGAGCAGATGGGCACGCACTTGACCCCCTCATAATCACCAGCCGAGTGACTCTGGACCAAGATGTACTTGCCATTTTGTCAACTCATGCCATAATAAAGACCCAGCCGAAGGGATTTATGAATTCCTCATTGTTTCAAGAATGGGTCGAGCGTGTTCTTGTTGTTGATGTCAAGGCGTCTCAGAAGGCTCTCCACACCAAAGCGCGAGCTGTCCTCATTATGGACGGTTTTAAAGCCCATAACTCTGCAATTGAAATACTGAAGAAGAACGGCATCGATGTGTTGTACCTAAAACCACACATGTCGCATCTATGCCAACCACTGGATTTGTGTGTTTTTTCTGCCGTCAAGTCTCATTTGTCTAAAAATGAACTCCTCAAAATAGAATTTGAAAACTACATGAAAGAAAGTGGAAAACCAACAAACGAGTTGTTCGATGATCTTTTGAAAGTGAAGATTGAGTTTGCAGAATCGACAGTGGAAAAAAGAATCCTCTCAATCTACGATTCGTGGAAGGCAAAAGACCGTCTTGAAACAATAGTCAGTGCCTTCAAGCAATCAGGAATAGCTTTACAGTCTGCTATCTGTGACCGCAAAGTGAAGACACGTCCGAGTCATCGAGAACATATAAAGTCTGCAAAGTCGACGG